CAGATAGGGGAAGGGAGCTGGGAAATTAAGAGACAGGAGAGGTGGGGCTAGGGAAGGTAGGTGGGATGGTGATAGGTGAATGCAGGTAGGGATTAGTCAGTGGGAGAGAAGGTGGACAGGTTGTTTCAGATCAAGGAGGCAGGAGGGAGGATGGGTGGGGCTGGGGAAAGGTAGGTGGGGTGGTGATAGGTTAGATACAGGTAGGGGGTAGTGAGTAGTGAGGATTAGTCAGTGGGAAGGGTAGGGTGGATAGGTGGGGAAGAAGATGGACAAGTTGTGTCAGCTCAAGGAGGACATGGGATGAAGGCACCCACATGGGTCCAGGCTATGCCTGCCTCTTCATAGGATACGTGGAACAGTCCCTTTTCTGCTGTTACACTGGCACCATTTCCCATCTCTTCCTCCGCTTTATGGATGACTGCATCACCTCCAAACATGGACCGTTCCACTCCCGGACATCCCAGATGTCCTCTCATTTCAAGGACCACAACTCACCACCCACCACACCCCACCCAGTGATCAAAAATATCCTTAACCACATCTCTTGCATTTCTCGCTCTTCTGCCCTCAACCCCTTCCCCCATCAAGAATAAAGACACAATGCCCCTGGTCCTCTCATACCACCCCACCAAGCTCCACATGCAGCGTATCATTCTGGCCTAGTGTATTATCGCTGGATTGTTAATCCAGAGACCTGGATAACATTCTGGGGACCTGGATTCGAATCCTGCCACAGCATATGATGGAATTTGAATTCAATAAAATATCTGGAATTAAGAATCTAATGACCATGAATCCACTGTCGATTGTTGGAGGGAAAAAAAAAACAAAAAAAAAAAAAAAATTACCTGGTTCACTAATGTCCTTTAGTGAAGGAAACTGCCACCCTTACTTGGTCTGGCCTACACGTGACTCTAGACCCACAGCAATGTGGTTGACTTTGAACTGCCCTCTGGGCAAATCAGGATGGATAATAAATGCTGCCTAGCCAGCAATGCCTCATCCCATTAATGAATAAAGGGGGAAAAAAAAAAGTTCTCTGACCCTACAACCAAAGATATATTTCCCTCCCCATCCTTATCAGCCCTTCATAGGGGCTGCTCACTCCACGATTCCCTTGTCTGCTTCACAATCCCCACTAACCCCACCACACCCAGCACCTTTCCCTGCAACCGCAGGAGGTACTACACCTATCCCTATACCTCCATCCAGGGCCCAAAGCAAAAACTTTTCATATCCAACAGGGGTTCACTTGTACATTCGTAAACTTGGTTTACTGTATCCGCTGTTCCCAACGTGGCCTCCTCTACATTGGCGAGACCAAGCATAGACTCTGGGACTGTTTCGTAAAGCATCTGCGCTCTGTACGCAACAAACAACAACACCTTCCAGTCGCCAACCAGTTTAACTCCCCTTCCCACACCCTGGGTGAATTGTCCATCCTGGGCCTCCTCCAGTGTTACAATAACACCACATGCAAACTGTAGGAGCAACACCTCATATTCTGCTTTAGGAGCCTACAGCCCGGTGGCCTAAACACAGAATTCACCCGTTTTAAAATCTCCCCACCCCCGGCCTCATCCCACATTCAAACATCCCCGTCTCCTTGACATGAAACAACATGTCCATCTTCTCTCCCACTGACAAATCCCCATCACTCCCTACTTGCACTCACCTATCACATCCCACCTTCCTTCCCCAGCCCCATCCCTCCTCTCTATTTATTTCCCAGCTTCCTTACCCCTCCCCATTTCTGAAGAAGGGTCCCGAACCGAAACTTCAACTTTCCTGCTCCTCTGATGCAGCCTGGCCTGCTGTGTTCCTCCACCTCTATATTGTGTTGTCTCGGACTCCAGCATCTGTAGTTCTTGCTATCTCAGAGACATCGTAAAAGCTTTTCACTGTACTCCTACAATGAAGTATGTGTGACAATAAAAGGATATTCTATATTCTAAGTGCCATAGCCAATTTTAACACTTTTCACTAAATATTTATGAATGGACTTCAGAGATGTCAAGGCATAACAATGAAAAGTAATGTGCCAACTGTTCCTTGCGTATTTTCAGCTTGTAAACATGGAGGTTTATTAAGGCATTAAGTACAAGCTGAGCTTAATTATGTAGAATTTTAACACAGCAGTATCAAACAATGTGGTACAGTTCTGCACAATCTAGAAGAGTTCAAACATGGCTTCAACGCTTCAGTCTGTATCCTAACTTGCAGCAAGTCCTGTTCAACTATCACGTATGCTTGCTGCCCAAAGTAGCTCCCAGTCTGCCTAATGCTGTCCCCCATCAGAGGCTTCCTCTGATCTGACAACGCTTCAAGATCATTGCACTTGTTTAATTCCAGCTTCTTGAAGATCTCCAGTTTTCATTGTTCCTCCATTGGTGACTATGTCTTCAGCAGTCTAGGCTCTAAAATCTGGAAATTCCTCCATACACTTTTCTACCAAGTAACTTCTTAAAGCTTACCTCATGGACTATGCTTTTTCTCATCTATCCAAATACCACACTGCATCAGAATTTTTGAACGTGCTCTTGAAGTGTCTGAGGACTTTTTTTACTACATTAAACATAAATGTAAATTATCATTGTAGGTGAATTACACATTTCAAAGAACACCACTCAATACAATTCTTTTCTTAAAAAAATGTATCTACACATTTAAGATTGCCAATATTTGAAAAACCACAAGCAAGTGTTTAATACATTTCCTTTATTATGCAATAATGCACTTGCCCATACACTGATTTCAGAATCAAATACAACCCTGATGAAACTTGCTGTTTCTAAGTTTACTAATTACTGCAAATGTATAAATGATAACATATACAGGTTTCAATTACTCAAAAATATAATCTGCAGAAATGCAATACAACAGGGTAATTTTTATTTGTTGCAATTCAGAGATAGTTATTTTTGTTCCCCTCACAGCACAAACTACCCAAAAACAAAGAAAACTCCTGCACTTATTTACAAAGAAGCACCGATCCACAGTGCTGTAATTATTTATTCGGTTTAACTTCTGCTTCTAAAAACACTAAAATCTAGGGTAACTGCCCTCTGCTTATTTCAGTGCTCACACATTTACCACAATGATACAGAAATGTTGGAAGATCTTATTAAGTGAAGCAATATGCAATAAATGTTTGCAACAAGCCAGTTAAATGATAGAAGAAGGTAGTTTATAGTGTGAAGGAAATGTTATCAGCATTTTACTTGTTTACAAGTCCTTGAGTTATGTTGACTTCTTAAATTAAATGTATTGAGGGAAGCATTTCAATCATTGCATGTGGCCAGAATCTGAAGAAACAAGATTCCTACAGAGTATAGAAGGTTTAAATGTTACCTCTACAAATTTAAGCTTGTATTGGTTCACAAAAAAATGGCAGCAAGCCAATGTGCTTTAACTACACTAGAATTTGAAAAGGATTCTTTTGAAAAACATATGCAGACAAGTGCTTTTGAAGGAATTTCCAGGCAAATCAAAACCTGAAGAAATTATTGCAGGTGAGTCAATTAGAATTCCATTTTGGAGGTAGCAAGGAAACAAACTTTCTATACAACATGCTCTTAACTGCTTACTGCATTGGCACATTTGTATACAATTGAGAGAGAATACTTGGTGGCTCCTAACTTTCTGCCAACTTTGATGGGTTGATGTAACGTTGCTTACATTAGCTAAAAATAAAATTAATGGCTGACAAAAATGGTTTGAACACCAGCACATAGGTCACCGAGCATACTGCAACTTAATAAACCCATCACTAAATCACAAAGTCAAAGCACCAAGTACAATGCAATAAGGTGTAGAGCAGGAAAATAGGAAGGAGCTATGGTATTTGGCAATACAGAAAACTGAACACAAACTTAAGTTTTGTTGGCCTATGCTGCCAGCAAGTTGGGTAGGGCTCTTCTGAATGTTTTTGAGTTAATGGGTTTTGCACTTGCATATCTACGACACCTGGAATGTCATTACTAGAAAATGAGGATTCCTAAAATTTGCCACTTATTCTAAATCCCCCATTAAAAAAAATAAATTACTTGTGCAAACTTTGATTATATAACACTGAACATTCTAATTAGAAATTTTTCAGCTCTTAATCTCAAGTAGCCAACATTGATGTTTCTTTTCTGATAAATAAGTTCAGAAGTATGAAGGAAGGTGCCAGGTCTGAAAGTATGGCATGTTCCATTTTACTGAGTGCTTCCAACATTTTCCCCTTTTATGCAAGATAACATTGACTGTTTTAAATGTATATTTTCAGCCTTGTGGTCAATCTCGTAATAATTTCATGGTGCATTCCAGCACAGTTCAACACAGTGAGATAAACTATGACTCTGGTCACTGCAGAACATTTTGTAACGTGAAGTGCAAATTACAGGAAGTATGACAGATAAAAATCTATCACTCGACTTACATAGGTTTCACTCAAGCGAGAAGTGTTCTGCTTCTTGGTATTTTTGTCTTTGACTACTGCAGCTCCTCCCTCATACCTCTTCCAAAGGTTCAGTTTAAAAAAGAAAAATTAAAGAAATGCACGACAGTCCTCTCATTAGCTAAACCAAAGACCCTGGCTGTGATTTACATTAAGTTGAGCTGTATGATTTTTTTTATTGAAAATCATACCATTCCTATTATCAGAGCTATTGAGGTGGAGTGGGGACAAAAGCAGCAGTATATAATTATTTCATTACAGAGACAGCTGAAAGCAATTTAAAAAATGAATCGCTTGGACAACTTACTTTCTACATGAACAACATCTCTTGAATTATTCAAATACAATACAAACAAAAATATAGTAGTTTTATATTTGTCTTAGAAAGGAGGATTTTCCTGCATATAAAGTTTAGCCCAAAGTGCTGTGCTAAACAAGGAGTTGTTTTGCATTCCTGGCATTATATAAATCTGCATAAGTGTAATAATCAGAATACTTTTCAAAGCCTGAAATATTTGATGGGTGCTTTGTGGACAAATAATCTAGATCTCAAATGAAATTTGAGCAAACCTTTGCTTTGTTTAATTAAAAAAGTACTTTGAGAAATTCTACAATACTTCAAACTTTGTACATTTAGATGAAAACCTAGAACAAACAAAGGCTTTTGGCACAAAAACAGTGTACATTATCCTGTTCCCCTCTTGTCCCTAACCTCATTAAACTGTGCTAAAGGTATATTTTTAAATTGTGTGAAAATGAAGAAAAATAAAATTCAGTTAAAATATCTGGCACAAGTGAACTATAAGCAAAAATCAAAAACATGATAGTTTTAATGATATTAAATTGCCCGTTATGAAGGTTTCAGAGTCTGCAATTAAATTATAAATATTAGGTTTAGACGGGAAAACTGACATTAGATTATCCTCAAAAATAATTGTATAGGACAAATGTAGTTTTCCTGATTTGTCACAACATTTAACAATTTAAATTAACAGATAAATTTGTACAAATCTTCTTGGGTTACTGCAGCAAGTTAATGAGGAAGAGCTGTACTGTATGTACACCAAAATTCACATATTTCAACAGAAGTTTATTAAGAAATTGTAACCAGCTACATATGGACAATTTTGTGTTAGCAGAGATTTATACAACATTCACAATCCAACCTATAGGATCAACAGTCTTCTCTGCTGAATAGATTTGTCATCTTATATGTAAAGCACCAAACAGTGCAACATGGATTACTTTTGCAAGTTTGAAAAACTTGAGGATTACGGGCAGGTGAACATCAAAAGGTGTATGGTTAAAAATTTGCTGGTTGTCACTGTTTCAATACTTTGTGGGAGGGTGAAAGACGACAAATTTTCCCAGAGTTATTCATAAGCCGCCCATTAAAGTCACAGGTTGCCCGTTAACTTTTCTGAAATGTATTACTTTAAAGAATGATCAAGATTTTTGACGCGGGTAAAGAGTTCAATAAGACCAAATACATCCCTAGGAGACGTGCAGATCAATAACAAAATATTATATTGTAATGCAAGGTTCATTCACATTTAACATCCATGTTGTTAGATTGACCTTAGCCTTCCTACAGTTTTCCAGGATACCACATCAGTGCTGGGATTGCTTAGTCTGCTTTTGGTGGGTCAATTCTCTCAAAACAACATTCTTGCACTTCCAATGTTTGGTGACCATTGCTCAGTTGACCTTTTAGAGGTGTAGCTGGCTTGCAAAATAGTCTCAAAAAATCAAAAACATGTAAAAATGCTTTTCAAATTAAGCTAGTTAAACTGTGCAACAGTTCCAAAAACTTTATGTGGAGTTGGAAAAGGGTGTTGAGGAAAAAAAAAAGTGTATTAGTATTGAACCTTTTAATTTTATTTGCAACTTTACTGCTGAAGTCAATAGGAAACAGGTTTCAGTATCACAAATATCTTCAAATTTTGTTAGTGGGGTGTACAAAATAAGGAAACCCACATTATTCAGTCATGGTTTTTGCAATCATAGTCACAACATTAACTTCTTTTCAGTAACTGATAAAGGGGAAGGAGTAGCTATTTTGAAGAAATGTACACATCCAGAAATGCATGTGCACCTTAGGGTCAGTAGCTTCATATGCACATGATATATTCAGCTTGTGTATCGGAACTATAGTATGATACAACCTGTTACGAGCAAGCACAACTACTGCATCTCACGCAGATCATGCTAAACCTAATAGATTGCAATGTTATTGGAAAAGCCAAGTTTAGCTGTAATCAAAACAGATCACCCCTAATTAGACTACATCTGAGATCTATCATTTAGTGGTTTAAGTGGAATTTATAGAATGCCCCCTACCTTTCTTTAACCAGATTGTGTCAATTCAACAATGGTCCGTTTCTCTGATTTAATCCTTAATAATGAGATGGATTGGTGACTATAACTTAAAAAAAATGCTAGCTGCTTCATGATTCGAAATTGTTCAAAATAAACACCCCATAACACGAGTATTAAAAAAAGTCATTTTTCTTTTCACTAATTGCAAAAAATAAACTTACATTCTGCATAGCGAAGCAATATGATAATCCAGTAACTGTTGCCAGACAAAAAACGTGTAATATAATGCACGTGGTCAGAAGAGGATGAACGCCTAAACTGGTCAGAAGGAATGGGAAGTAGACAGGACTGTTAGTAGGATTTTCATTTTGAAAGTTTTGAATTGAAATCTTTAACCGACAGCAAGTTGAAAGTTAAAACCCTTTCCAAGAGTTCAGATAGTTTTAAATTGATCATAAATTCTATCTGAACCAGGCTGAGCTATGATTTTGCATTTTTTTTGCAGGTTTCTGTTCAATTGCTGATATTTATAAGTAATCTTTCGTGCATCCATTCATGTTCCTGCTGTTAAAAATCATGAATAGCTTCAGTTATGTTCAGCAAAGAAAAGAAGCTGCACTGAAGAGGTCAATAAATGTTGACATCTATTTATGCCAGTTCAGTAGGTCAATGACCAAAGACAGATTGGACTATATTCTTCTCAGCATTTTTTTTTCACAAAACAGGCTTTGCATTTGATTAGAACTTATATTGGGAATCAGTACTATATTGCAAGTTCGGTTACAGTTTTAAATGATGAATAAGCCTCGTGTCTTGGTCATATTCATCTGTCTTCATCCAGGTATTTGGTGCTTACAGAACCTTGTGTTGATGCAGTTTCGCTGTCTCTACATGAACTGCAACTGAGAGAATGGAGAGGGATATTAATAAAACAAAATCTTCCTAGTGAGAGGAAACCAAAGGTAGACAATTTTGTTTTTATCTTTTTCACTTGCAGAAAAAGGCTCACATGATATGAACAGTTTAAGTGCAACAATTACCTGAGCTCCGTTAACTGGTGCAAAAGGGTTAGTTGCTCTCATAACAGGCTGAGGATACATCATTGGATGCTGCGGTACCACAGGCAATGTTCCTACTGCAGGTACCTGGGAGTAATATTAATAAACCAAAATTAACCAACTAAAAGCTAAACGACCAATGATCTTTGCAACTTTCACATCAAGAATAATATACACGAAAGGTGTGGGTACACACTGCACGGAGACTGGATGTGAAGAAATATGTAGCGATTTTTATTCCTGCCATTTTGTTTTTACACCACCTCCAAAATAAATGCAACACTGCAAAGAACTAATGAAAATTTACAGAGCTAAACTTAAGAGTTCCCAAAACAGTAATGGCATTCAGGTAACCCTATAAACTAAGGGAAACCAAACTTGAAGGTAACAAAATTCACAGGGAGAGGGCTTGCATGATGGCATTAATGCTGTACTTTAAACCGTTAAAAAAAAAGTGTTGTTAAACTACTTAATTTTGCACGCAGACCACCAGCACAGTCCATTATGGAATTGTGACAAACACTGAAAATTGTCAGTCTCACATTGGATTGCACTGGTTCAACACACCGGCTTTCCACCATTTTCTTAAGGGCTATTAGAGATGGGCAACAAGTGTTGGTCAAACCAGAGACATCCACATCCCGTGAAAGAATAAAAAAAAAAAAGATAGTTTGAGAAAAGCAAAAAAAGGTGTGCATTAAACCAAACTTGCAGATGCATCATTTGATCAATAATATATGGCAATGACAGAAATAAAATGTCACAGGATTTTCAGTGGAGCCCCAGGTATCATTAAAAGAAATTATAGGAAGGATTGATGACCATCTACACTGTGCCTACATCAAATAAGCAAATGTTGTTACTAGCAACACAATTTAATATTTTAATTTGCTGAAATTAATTTGATTTTTCTTCCAGTGCAGGTGAAATAGAATTGGAGATTAACTGAAAGGACAGTAGTGAACCAAATGGGTTTTCTGATGTCCTTTTGGGAAGGAAATCTGCCATTCATATCTGGTCTGGCCTATATGTGACTTCAGACCCACAGCAATGCACTTGACTCCTGCCTGCACTTTGGGGAATTACAGTTGGGGCAATAAATGCTGGCTAAGCCAGCGATGTCCACATCCTATGAATTAATTTACAAAAACAGAATAGCTGCATGGCTGCACTCAAGTCAAGCTCGTGAACAGAAGGGTAATCTTTGCCCAGTTTACATAAAACTTGTATTTGCTTCCAATGTGGCAGATTACTCCAAATACTTTCTAAAAAAAAGCAAACCACATATATTCAATAGGACACATTGGAGGCTCCACAATTACTCAGTCAGCACATTTATTTCAAGGTGCAATACTGAGTTACACAGGTAATGGAGGTCCCAAATTCAATCTGGTTTCAGTCAAGGCAGTGCTGGTGCACTGTTAGCATCAATGGCCTTTAGGATGGATGAGGAGGGAATGATTTTTAAAAAAAAGGGTTTCCCACTTCTCATTTACATAACATTTCTTGGCCAGGAAATCTGTGTTGTAAGTCAAAGGAGGAGTGAACAAAATATATCTAATTAAAAATCATGAGGTAATATTCCAACATAATAGACCATTTTCAGGACAAGAATTAAGTGCAATTAATGGTACAAGTTAGTTACTTACCATTCCATATACAGGCACTTGAGATGTTGACACTGGGAAAGACACTGGAGCAGGTCCCTGCATTTCAATAAAACATTAATATAAAGATCACAAAGAGGCTTGTACTACATGAAATTACTTTTTAAAAAGGATTTTATTCCTCATTTGTGCCTCAATGACGGGCTTAGAAGACAGATCACAATTTGACATCGAACAACTTAAAAAAGATACAAGTCAAGATATCAAGGTGCAGGGCTGGATGAACACAGCAGGCCAAGCAGCATCATAGGAGCAGAGAGGCTGACGTTTCAGGCCGAGACCCTTCATCAGAAAAGGGGGAGGGGAAGGGGGTTTTGAAATAAATAGGGAGAGAGTGGGAGGCGGATAGAAGAGGGATAGAGGAGAGGATAGGTGGAGAGGAAACAAACAGGTCGAAGAGGCGGGGATGGGGCCAGGAAAGGTGAGTGTAGGTAGGGAGTTAGGAAGGGGATAGGTCAGTCCAGGGAGGACGGACAGGTCAAGGGGGCGGGATGAGGTTGGTCGGTAGGAGATGGAGGTGCGGCTGGAGGTGGGAGGAGGGGATAGGTGGGAGGAAGAACAGGTTAGGGAGGCAGGGACGAGTTGGACTGGTTTTGGGATGCGGTGGGGGGAGGGGAGATTTTGAAACTTGTGAAATCCACATTGATACCATTGGGCTGCAGGGTTCCCAAGCGGAATATGAGTTGCTGTTCCTGCAACCTTCGGGTGGCATCGTTGTGGCACTGCAGGAGGCCCAGGATGGACATGTCATCTGAGGAATGGGAGGGGGAGTTGAAATGGTTCGCGACTGGGAGGTG